AAGGGTGATAGGCACTTTAAATAAATAGTCTACTGCATTACCTTGATATTTTGAGCTTTTTGTAAATTTTGATTTCTTAGAAACAGTTATAATGTCTTTATACTGTGGAATATGGGTTTGGTATTCTTGATCATGCATTAAATAAAATTAGTTTCTAGTGTTGGTCATTTAATCTTTTATAGTTTGTAAGATTAACAAGATTTTGTAATTGTCATTGGGACACGTAATGATGTGGCACTAAAAATAAATAAGATTAACTCTTTTTTCTCTTGATTAGATAAATCTATCTTCAATTATTGATTTGAATTAAAAAAGGAAATAAAAAGTCTTATCTTCTTTGTTGTTATTATATGAAGTTTACTTTTGAATTTTAAAATCGAGATTATGAAATTGTATAAAATACTTGTAAATTATGACTCAAAAACCCAAATTTTGGTGACCCAGCTAGAAGGTCATGTCAAATCAAGTACGTAAGATGAGACAAAGTGAAGCAGAGATTGGAACCACTATATATTGCCTACTCTATCCCTAGTCCTTAACCCAACCATCCACTTTATCACGCTTTGATGGATCTTTTTCAAAAGTATCACGTGTTCAGATTTGAGATGAGGCATTTTTGGGCAAGACTATTACTCATACTAGGAAAAACACACACAAAAACTTTAAAATTATGTTAAGGAAAGAATGCTTTGAAGTTTTTTTTTAGTGTGGGAACAGGATAATACCTTTTTGAAAAAAAATATAGCTCACTTTTAGAAATATAGCTCATTCTAATCACAGGCAACTACATTTACAAGAGAATGTATGGGGATTTAGAATATGTTGTATCTTATTTGGAAAAACGTGAATAAAAGTTTGTCAACTTGCCTGTTGTGTCAATTTGTTTATTTTGAACTCCTGTATGCAGTTTCAGCAAGTTTTAAAGGTATTTAAGATAATGTTTAAGAAAAACATTCCAACATTAAGTAATAATGACAAGGTAGGAAGATGCTGAGCCGAATTTGCTGTCACTGGTGTCCATTGTGAATGTTTTTTCTCAGAAAATACTAATCCAATGAGGATTTTGCTTCATGTGAGCACAAAGGAATAGTCTACCAATAAATCTATGTGATTCAATTGGATCTAGCTGTAGTTACAAACTAGCAGTCCTCCCTTAAACTTTAAAAAGGTACTCCAATGAACACCAGGAAATCCACGATCATGGCTGCTCGCCCAACTTTTGCGGCTAAGGACTTGAAACCAACTAGCTTAGAAAAAGACAACAACTAAATATATAAAGATTTTGCCTTAGTCGGATAAAGCCAAGTGAATCTACCTCAAATCATTAGGAGCAGTAAAGAAAATCATAACGAAAGAACTGCCGAAAGATAGGACAAACTGGAACAAAACCTTAACCTTGTCATTATAATTACTTAATGTTGGAATGTTTTTCTTTATGCCCTTCAAAACTCGCTGAAACTGCATGCAGAAGTTAAAAAAAAAATGACACAACAGGTAAGTCAACAAACTTTTATTCACGTTTTTCCAAATAAAATATGGCATATTCTAAATCCCCATACGTTCTCTTGTAAATGTAGTGAGCTTGGGCTGCCTGTGCTCTAATCTTATCACACTGCAAGCGATATTCTCCCGCGCATCTGGAAAGTCATCTAGGATTTGGCTGCCAAAACCGCATTAATTTTTAGCCATTTGAAATGTTCTTCCAAAAGATTAGTACAGTAATAAATATAATAGATCGTGTTCTGTAGCAAATAAAGTATATTATTTTGCAAATTGTTACCAGGATCAGTATTCTGTATTGTTATACCGAGAAAGAATGCATCGGGAATGCATCTTCGTTTTCTTGTCGTTTTTTTACACACATTAGTTGTCGTTTCATCAGCACTTTTATCAAACGAACAGCACTAAATACCCACTACACAACCCAATACATCATTAATGACTTACCTGACGTACCAGTTGACCAAAAAACAATTTGTTTGCGCAGGAAAATCGACGAAAATGACAAAATATTCGAAAGAAAAAAATGACAGCATCCAGCTCATCCAGCTACAAATAATAAAGCTTCGAATCAAAGCTTAGATTTTAGTGTTGGGGTTCCTGTGGTAAAATGTAGTACCCAGTGTTTACCCAACACCGCAAAGACGCCTGGTCATAACTTGAATGAAAATGGCGCCTTCTGGAGGAAGAGAAATAGTCTGTGATTTTTAGTCCGTAGTTCATCAAAAACTGTCTATATTTTATCATTTTTAACCATGTTTAGTTTACAGGAACTCGAAGCATCAGCTATGGTAATGATGGTGAGTAGAGAAGAGAAAATATGGCGTTTTTTTATAATTTTCTCCACGTAATTAATTCACTGGTCCTTATGCCTTTCAATTTCAATTGAGAAAAAAATTGATAAAACTCGATAATATGAAGCTTAAATTTGCTTAATGAAAATAGTTGGGCTTTTAATGAATAGATTATTCATGTATAGGATGTTGAAGCTGGATTTCTTTACATTTAATTCCTGATGTTAAATTAATACAGGCTTGTTTTTTATTGTTATTTCTGACCATGTGCTAAACATTTTGACCGGTTCATTGACTATTTATTAATGCTACTCATGTTTTACTGCGATTTAAGGCATCACCTACGGTTGTGACCCCACAGCAAAGACATGACGCAGAGCAAATTTTCTTGAGACTCAAGAAATCTAAGTCTCCATATGCTTTCTGTAGACAGGTTCTTGGTAAGTATTTACAAACGTCGACAAACATGACTTAAGGGACCAGGTACATGTATTACAGGTAGGGGAAGGGTGGTAAGATAGATAGATACACTGTATCTACAGGGAGGAATTGTAATTACAGAAAAAAAAGGTTTTCTCAATTACCGCCCTCCCTACAGCATGCCTTTCATAAAATAATATGCCTTCATCTGTTTGTTCTGGCCATTTATATTTTCATCGATTTGCATAGGCCCCTGATCTACCCTTTATGTGCACCATTATTATCCTGGTTCTTACTGAGACCCACACTCTTAAACTTGTTTTTCTGCAGTACTAAGTAAAAGTTCTAAGTAAAAGTTTTACTTGAAATGAAATTTCAATTTTTGGCTTAGTTTTTTGAATACTCTTTTTATTTTAAGTCAGCTAAGAGTTGCCATAATAAGCTAAATTAGTATAGGTATTCATATGGCTTCAAGTTCAATTTGGGATTAATTCACACGAGTGTGTCTTTCAAAGAATTGAATTTTCAGCCATAGCAGTGAGTGTGCTGACCTCTCTAATTTCAGCTCTTTGAAAAATGCAAGAGTGCTAATTATCCCAAATTGAACAATAAACTATATGATTACTTATTGATACAGCTGTAATATACCAGAAAGACATTGCAAAAGTGACGAAATATGCCAATCTGACGATGTGTGCAATTCATTCAACTCCTAATATTTTATGAAATTTATCAGTTTACAACAAACTATATTCAAAGGGATTTTGATTTCATGTAAATCAAAATTACACTGAATTACACTTTTTTGCACTGTACTGTGCTTGAACAACTCTGCTCTAAGCCAATCAGAATTGAGTAATTTTTTCATGTATATTTATTATTGTAGATATAACAACAAATAAAAATATCAATCCCAGAAGAAAAAATGGGTTCTTGTTTTATCTTCAAAAGGGATTGGGTGCAGTCCATGGCAACACCTTCAAGCGTACCATAACATAGTTTTACTCTATGTACACTATGACCAAAATAAGTTTCAGCCATTTTGGGCTAATTCTTGCAGAATTATTCTCTATTTTGTACTTCGACTTTTTAGTGAGTCCTTAGAGGACATCACCATTTTGTAATTTCTTTATTGAATATTTCGGCAATGGAAAGAGATATGAAAAATGGTAAATTAATGACATTCTTATTTATTTTATGAGGGCTTTCAAATCATGAAGGCATCCTGTAGGGGTTAGTTGCACTTTTAATGAAAATATTTACTCTAGAAGTAAAATAATTGATTCCAGGAAAGTCAAAGCTAGCTATAATTTATTTTATTTTATTTTTTTTGTAGAGCACAGTAATAATGATTATGTCATGTTCCAAGCAGCTTCAGCAATCAAAGAAGCCATTCTCCATGAATGGACCATATTAGACAAACAAGATATTGACTCGCTCAGGGCATTCCTCCTGACATTTGTTCTACAAAAACAAGGGTAAGATAATTTACATGTTGTCAGGGTAACAGTAGTATGCTAATTTACATGTTGTCATGGTACCAAGGATATACTGATTTACATGTTGTCATGGTACCAAGTGTATACCGATTCACATGTTGTCATGGTACCAAGGATATACTGATTTATATGTTGTCATGTTACCAAGGGTATGCTTATTCACATGACTTGACAGGCAAACTTAAGAAGTAAATTATTTAGTTTTACATGCATGTATCTTCGATTGTACAGTATAGCCCAGATGTATGTCAAGGTAACGTGCGTGTAACACGCGTGCACTACGTTAACGGAGTACACTCATACTAGTGTATGTTGTCCATCTGCGTGCAGTCCACTCTAACAACTCAGCAAAATTACACGCAGCCAAATAGCTCATTAACTTCAGTCTAATTCCCGAGGGATTCATAATGTTTTTGTTGACCGCTGAATAGGTGATAACATAGATGTTTTTCTTTTCCTACGTAAAACATTTCTGATGTTTTGACTCGGCGTGTGGCATGTAGCATAAGATCATATTCTTTTAATGTTAAAGTTTGTGGCTCCTCTAGCAACAACAAATTTTCATAAAAAGAATATTGAAACAAAAAAAACTTTCAAGTGTAATTTGCCGTGGTACGTGCTGGTGCCAGTTCAATAATCAAACTGTTAACGTTCTGAATTTATTTTTAAGACGAGTGTTTGAATAGAAACTCGAAAAACAAAAGTATTCATATAGAAATTTGAGCCAACCTGATTCTACTAATTAATTATTTTTCAGTTTTGATGATCTGAATCCTAGAATARAAAAATTGCGTGCACAGAACTTCAGACGGCTATGTCCGACGACAAATAAAAGAGTAATAATATTATTGGATGCTAAGATACGTATATAAATTATGAGAACTATCTGATAAACAATGAAGCAGTTCTTTGGTCTCAATTATCTAAATGAAGACAAATTTCGTAAATAAAATGGACAGGATAATTAAAATGCAGACTATTTTGGTTACATTCCAGCTTGCAAGCGAAATACTTGACCTGATGCGTAGACGCATGAATGAATACAGAACTTTTTAAATATACGTGTTTCTTTAATATTTCTTTGTTTGATCAAACATTAAGTTTTATTTTTTAGAGGTTTTCGTTTTCGAAGCAAAAATTTAAAAAAATCATTTGGGTTTCTCTTATCCAGTTGAACAATACATGTATATCTCTGATTTGAAATCCTTTGGATTAATCCAGTTGAACGGAATAYACGCGTACGCGTGGAATATAAATGATATTTATACGAAATTTCTATGGTCTTTGTTATGAAACAAAGGCTGTATAACAAAAGAATATTACACTCAAACGCGTGTAGTGCGTCCATGTCTCAAAGCACGTACTACGCTAGAACGAGTGTACTCCGTTAATGGAGTACACGAGTGTTACACGAGTGGACACCATGACATACATCTGGGCTGTACTGGATCAGGTCTACATAAGTATTGCACAAAGTCAGATTAAAAAAATTTTTCCCACAAAATGTCTTGACTGAGCATGCTTTACATTCTTCATTGAGGGCCATGTGTTAGATAACTCTCTGGGTTAATTGTGTCACCCTCCTTAAATAAAGTTTATTGTATTGTATTGTATTGCATCTCATTTGATTTCTTGCACCTCATTAGATATTTGTATAAATGTATATACTGTATTACAGCCTTTCTGCAATCAAGTTTATCTATATATATAATTATATGTAGACTCAAAAAATAAAACGACATGATTGTTTTGTAAATAAGTAATAGTTTCTTAAAGTATAATTGTATAACTGTAATTGTATTGTATATTATGTAAAAAAAATAATAAAAAATAAAACTTTACAAAACAAAACGAACAAAAAACAAAACAAAAAAAGAATGACCTCCTGCATGAGAGCTAGACCACTTATTACATGTTAAATATTATATACTTTCTTGTGTATATTGCAGGTATTATGCATATATGAGCCAATATTTAATTAGTTTTGAAAGTATTTTTTCCAAGACCAAAGTCCTTGATCCAGAAGTATGCATGAATGACAAAAACATGGCCAATATGGCTAGGTACAGGGTGTAACGACTTTTATTGGGTATTACAGCTTGATATCTACCTGTTAAAATGACATGACAGTTGTATATATTAATAGAATAAGTTATTGTTGAACAGGGTCCAGAAGTATGTCAAAGAACAAGTACTACAAGTAGTTGCTGTGATATTCAAACGAGGCACACTTGATGGGAACCAGGAAGCTTGGGTTTCTCTGTTCAATGATTTAACACAGCTTATTTCAGACAGTGATACAACTATGGTATGTACCATGATATACTACAGTAAGTCAGTAAGTTTGTAGTTTATGATTGGTTGTTTATATCATTTAGGAAGCTTGGGTGGCATAGCGGTGACAGTGCTCGCCTCTCATCAATGTGATCCGGTATCGAGTTCTGCTGGGCTCGGTGTTGCATGTAAGTAGAGTTGTTTGTTGGTTCTCTCCTGTGCTTCGAGGGTTTTCTGGGTTCTCCGGCTTTCCTTCCTCCACAAAAATCAATTTTCAAATTCCAAGAGACTCTGTGGAAATGCCACTGCTAAATCCTATTTATTTTAATTATTTTATGTAGACTACAGCTGCCAGAGCCCCTTTCACACTTTCCATTTCAAGCTTGTTAGTTACCACCAATTGCCTTTATATTTGCATGAGGAAATAAAGATCTTTGGTGTTGAATGCACATGTAATAATTATTATGTGCCATGAGAATTGAAAGACTGTTACTTAAAGTTAGTTGAATTTGCCACTCCGTGGTGGACAGAAAGCCTAACAGGTTTTGCAGCCCACTTGATAAGGCTACTGATAGATCAAATGAGAATTTAGAAGTTGATTTTTGTGGAGGGAGGAAAAGCGGGAGAACCAGAGAAAAACCCTAAAACACAGGGAACAAATTAACAAACAACTCTACTCACTCACAACACCAAGGCTGACAAGATTTGAACCCAGGTCACCCTGGTAAGAGGTGAGGACTCTCACAGCTATGCCAGCCATGCTTCCTTATGCTTATGGTTATGTATTGCCTCAGCAACTGCTACATTCAGATCGTGATTCCTAAAACACTTGTCCCCAAACCAAAATTTGCTCCAAAGATCTGGCTTTAAATAGCATCATATATTACAAATATTATGTTTAATTTACATTTAATGTACCACAATCTAGCAGAATCTGTTGTACACCAGTAGTTTCTTCATAATATGCCATGCCATTGTTTTTAAATATGTCCCCCTATTAAAAATAGCATCATCATTACCACACACTTACTAGAATCTGTTGTATAGTTTCTTTATATATTCACAATGGGATTGTTTATAAATATGCGTCCACCTATTAATAATGGCATACACACTACCACACACTTACCAGAACCTGCTGAAACAAGTTAGTTAACGCATGTAGAAACATGAAGGAACAATAGAAAGTAAAAATTTCTTATATTTAATTACTAATTACCATGCAGGCTCATGATAAATCATTCTACAGTAACTTGACTGTGTTGACTTGCTGCCAACCAGGTACACCTGCATTTTTTGAGAATGAAGGAACAACGCTTTAAGTTAACACAAGACAGTTCTCTTTACTCAAAACAATATGGCTGTCAACTGCATGACCCACACCAGCACATGCAAGTGTGCCTGCATATTAAGATTACATATGCAAATCTCATACCTTAACATCTTAACAATTTCAACAGCAAATCTTGGGTTGTTCAATACTCAAAGCACTTCTGAATGAATACTCCTTCATAAACAGATCAAGTGACATTGGACTCAGCTGGGAGTTTCATACTCGGTGTAAACACAATTTTGAGGTATTGTTTATAGATACTGATCCATTTGGATTACACTTGCGCAATATTATGGACCAGTCATTAATTGAAGGGGAAGAGAGCTGGTGCATTTTACTTCAATCTGCATGTCTTTAATCACCCCCTATCCTGCTGCAGAAACATTTGCTGTTAATAATGTGTATTTGCAGTTTTGTTCAGCCTTTTTTACTGAAGTACATGTATATAATGACTATTGCAACTACAGTATAAGTTGCGACAAGCTTGTGACCTTCTGTATTTACTGACTCTAACTTAGACAAGTTGTTGGGTGATGTCCAGGCTACATATTTAGCAACATATAGATGATTTCTCATGTTGTACTAGTTATAGCAGACTGTTTGTTACAGAAGGACCCTGAGAAATAAAGTGTTATAGTAGTTCACGTCATGTACTTCTTACATGTAACTGGTCTATCATTTATGTGGCAATCCAATCCACCACGAATGCCTTACCATTTGCAGATATTTTTAAAACAAAGACAGCACCTTCTACTCTTTACAGATATTTTTTAAAAGATTCTGAGTGCAAGTGTTGGTCAGGCCGAGACCTCAACCCATGACCTCCCAAACAATTCAGCTGGTCCCTATTTGTATCTGGCATTCATCTTTTCTCTCTAGTGAGCTCCTATAAAATTAATTTCTGATTCGTAATTTATTAACCTTTGATATTCAGACCAACCATCTCAAGAAAATCTTCTGCCTTGTTGTCCAAGTCCTGCAACGATACGAAGCTACAGATATGAAGTTGATGGGTAGAGAGCAAATTGTTGCCGTGGTGAGATTGCTGTCAATAGCAGAACAGATATTACAATGGGAACACACTATTCATAGCAATATCCTTTGAATGACAATATTTATAACAAAATATAATATTATGATTGATAATGGTTGATGGTGTACATGGCTGAAAAGATAACAAATATATTAATAATGCTAAACAATAAGGATTGATACAGATAATGCATGATGATGATAAATGACTAATGATTAGGATATTAAATGATAATAATTATAATGAATGTGATTAATAATTATGTACTTGCATAGGTGGCAGATCAGATGTAAAAGGATGGGGGGGGGGGGTGGGGAAGGGTTTTACAAATTTTTTTATTATTGACCAAATGCTCCCTACATTGCTGTAATGAGGCAAATGCATATTATGCTGTATTGGTGTTCTCTCAAAACTAATTCAAAACAGGGGTCATTGATTTGATTCTCAGCTGAACTGCACATGTGAGATGTCAGTTTTATTTGAAGTGTTGTTCTATCCCTTCCCACAAGGGTTTTGCTTTAGACTTCATTTTATCTCTTCCTGGGATTCCTGTGGTGAAATTAAAACTGTACTTTTAACAACAAAATGCAGGGCTGTCAACTCTCCCGGATAAACCGGGAGTCTCCAGATTTTGGACCGTATCTCCTGGTCTCCAGATTAGAGTCTCAATTCTCCCGGATAATCGCCGAAGCTGACCATTTCTTGTGAGACTCGACTTTCACAACCATAATTAAAATTCCAATTATTTTGTGTTGTTTGTGCTATTTTACATCGCTAACAAAATCAAAACGTTCCTCATAAACTGTTCTTGCAAGCAGGCCATTGTAATATAAGCGATAATCTGATTGGTCAGAAATAAACCAATCACATCAAATGTTAYAAAGCAAAAGACGTCTTTTTGTGCACTTTTTGAAGCTCTGTGACGTCATTTCCCTTCCCTATCAATTCTCCAGATTTGAATATCTTGGGGGTTGACAGCCCTGAAAATGTGTATGAACATTCTTTAACTCTGTCCAATCAGGAACCGAAGGGTTACAGACATAAACAAAGTTATTCTATTGAGGCCTGATAAGTCCTGGAAAGATGTTTTGTTTGATGCAAGCTTCATTAGCTTATTCTTCAAGGTAATTACCCCACAAAGTGTAAAGATATAAGAAAGGCAATAATGACCTTTATGAGCCTATTTTAGATATTCTACAGTGTAAAGATAATGTTATTTTAGGAGTTACTTTTCAACAGGATGGTAAAAATACTCCTTTCATGTTAAATCTAAACTCATTAAGGCAAATAGGTCCCTCTACGTACTTAGATCTTTACAAAAAGAGGGGTATAATCATATTCCGTGCTACCCTCTTTAAATAAAAAGTTTATTATTATTATTATTATTATCAGTCTTAAGTAGCAGTGCACGAATGTAGCCTCGCCTAGCAGTGAAATTCTGGTTTTAGAGAGTAAGAAAAATTTTAACTAGCAAGTACGGAAATTCAAAAATCGAAAAGTTTAGAAATCCATGGTTTCCACAGTGCATAAAGTTTCTTATTCATTGTGATAGATTGAGCTAACAGTTTTCTTTGATTGTCATTGCTGTAAGTACTGATATACCTTGGGATAAGATACTTTCTAAATAGAATGTATATATTAATATGTGTTTTTAAAATGCTTACCAAGAATTAGTCTAGGGCATTGGTGGATCCAGAATGATTTCAAAGAGGGTTGACTGTTACCAAGAAAGACATCATATCATGTTCACTTTGACTAATTTTTTATTCTCATTATTTTCAAACACCAAAGAGGGGTAGTTAATTCTCGATTTACCCTCCCCCCTTGATCTGCCTTTAGAAAAGATGGAGACTCAAACTTCTTGGGTGCCAGGATGTAGATCTGCCTTTAGAAAAGATGGAGACTCAAACTTCTTGGGTGTCAGGATGTTTGTTCAAATATTCTTGATATATTGGTCTTATTTGAGCCTCCTTTACTAACCCCCCCCCAAACCAACACCTGAATTATGTCACGTCTCTAATTGGGGAATAAGATTTTAAAATGACAACTGGCATCTTTTGCCTAAGGAGATCCTTACTACCATTGGTGTTCTTTCAGCTCTTATCCAAGTTTCAAGAGAATGAAGAGATATCACACCATGGGTTCCAGTGCCTGACTCAACTAGCTTCACTAACAGGGCCTATCCTAGGGAACAAGACTGCACAGACACAGTTCCTAGCGCACTTCCTGGTCGCATTTAATGAACTCACTAAAAGGTGAAACACTGATAATAGTCTCTATCTGCACAGGCTTATCCTCATTTGCAAAAACTGTAATGTTAAGAATGTGGAGCTTAAATAATACCAATGTAACCCCACACTTTCTCCAAATACTTAAAACCACACTTTTATACTTGAGAAAAAGGTTATTCCCTTGCTCTGGAAACATATATAGTAAAAGTCCAAAAACCTTATACTTGGATACAGGATACGGTCGAAAAAATGGACAAATTTCATTTCAACAATTTTGTGCTGAGTACAAGATTTTTGCACTTTTAACTCACTTATAGTAATTATGGTATGCTTGCTGTAACCACTTGTTTGAGCCATTTGCATGATGGCGTTATTTTACTACAACTACCAGAATGCTTTGCAAAGTTTCAAATTTCATGAGAATAGCCAAGAAGACAATAGATGATTTGCATTAACAGGTCACAAGACCCCATCCCCCTTAAAACGAGCAAATGAGTCAAAATGAACTCCAGAAATGAAAACAGCACCTTGAATTTAGTAAGAGGGCAAAGTTTCAGCTCGAATTGTTGACTACAGAAGAAATAACATTGAATATAAAATCAAATATTTTACAAGGATTTGTATGGGAAAAGTGTTGACTGGTAAGCTTTTACCATCCAGCACATTTTCCCATACAAATCCTTATAAAACATTCAATTTTATATCTAATGCCATTTCGCCTGTTTCACTTTTTATGAACTGAAACTCTGCCTCCCTACTAATGCTGAGTTGCTCTTTTCATTTCTGTTTTTTTACTTTGACAAAACTGCTCATTTTAAGGGAGGTAGGGTCTTGTGAATTGTTAGTGCAAGTCGTCTATTGATGGCACATGAAGTTAACTGAAAAAAAACAGGGATTCTGATATTTGTATATTATGTCACATGTTAGCATTTTATCTTATCAACAAACTATTTGTTATGGTTCCAACAGCTTGACCATGACAAGCCAAGTGGCCCTTGGATTAGCTAGTATCATTAACAGACTTTATACTGTGTTTCCTTGTACTTGCGTTGGTGCATTACCTGCTGATCTCTTACTAGCTACCATTAACATCATGACAGACCTCACATGTACTTTCTTGGAAGCTGTTGCTAAAGAAGAAGAGGTATTCCTGGTCATTTCTAACTAACTTCCTTCCCCCTTATTTCTCCATTTGTTCGTTACTTTTTCCTTCCTCCCTCCCTCCCTTCCTCTCTCCCTCCCTCCCTCCCT